ATATACTGGGTCTATCCTGAGATGAAGCCAACAGAAAGTCACGCACAGAGGAATTGAACGAGACATTCAGAAGAAACCATATGCCAACGCTGATGAAAGAGACTAAAGTTGCTGTACTGGATTCCATCCATGATACTGAAACAGTTGCACAGGATAGAATAAGATGGAACAGTAAACTATATAAGCCCTGTGTGACGCATTGCAGCACAACAAGATGATGATGGTAATATAGTTGCAGTGATGCAAGTGTATATATGTGCTACTTTCTGGAGGCATCAATTATAAGTTTGTCACCAGTTAATGCTGTTATCTAGACTTCTTTGACTGCTTGCTTCTCAGTTTGTAATTTCCTCCCAACTCCATAAACACGCGCCTATCTGACCCCGTGTGTCGGCCATAATTGATCACCATTGGATGAATACGTTTAACCCCGCTTTTCCCTGGAGACCTTCAGAATCTCATTTATTATTCTTGTTTTTATCGACAATCCGGAGGCAATACCAGCCGTACGATGCTTCTGGACACCGTGCAGGCTGATCAGAAACGACTGGCCCAGTTAAAGAAAGTATATTTGGGCTTACCCTGGCAGCTCTGGGGAGGAGGGAGGTATAAAGACATTAGTTGGGAGGATATTAGACACCAAATTGGCGAATGGAGGAGAAGAAAATGTAAGTGCGGTGGTTCTGTTTTGTCTTGAAAGCTTGAGCAGGTTTATGTTCAAGAAGGTGTAATGGGGTGGAGGGAAATGTTCCTAGCGTTCATTTTATATGTATTTATATATATATTTTAGGGTAGTGGCGTAACAAGAGGGTGTCGTATAATCCATCTCTCTTGCAGGAACATATATTATTGATCCAGAATGCTGGTCTCTGTCTCGCACTCGAAATGTTCGCAGAGATGACAGATCAGAAAATAATCTTTGCATTCAGTGACATTTGTAGCAGGTCGCGGTGCTTCATGTTAACTTGAATGTTGGCCCTCCATGATAAAGGATCCCCTACAATATATCATGAAATTGTGCCCGCCACCACAACCCCTCTCCCACTCACCAACCTACCCACTCACCAACCCACCCACTCACCAACCCAACCATTTAGAGAGGGATTATTTACATCATGGTTTAAACTGCCCGTTAGAGCGTGTGTCACACAGAATTATTGTCCTAGTTGATAACTCTCTCTCTCTCTCTCTCTCTCTCTCTCTCTTCACACACTGTCTTTCACTGTCTCTGTATAAATGTGTATGTGTGTGCGTTTCCATAAAAATTAAAAAATCAAGAGTTGAAGATATAACCTGTATTTCTTTTTCAAAGTAAGCATCTTGTGCATTGATACAGCAAGTGGTACGATCTAGCAAACACCGGAACGACCTCTGTAGTTCTTCTGTTGTTATGGCCCTTAAAGTCGATGTTACAGCCCTTTGGATGTCATCAGTATCGGAAAAGAAGCGCCCTTTCATTTTACTTTTTTGGGAATAGCATTCACGGGAGCAAACGTAGATGGTTAAGAACACGTACTTGTTTTGGGGCCAAAAGTTCCTGTACAATTACCGCTCTTTGAGCCGGTGTTTTGTCACGAAAAAGAAACAAGGTGTTGAATACAAACCGGCAAGCAACTTTTTTTTATGGCAAACCTTCTCTAAAATGTTATGAATGGCCTTTCTGTTAACACCAGATTCATCTACCATCATCCTCACAGTAAAGCAACGATCTTCTTGTATCCGTTCTCTGACTTTTGCAATGAGTTCATTTTTACGAACAGAAATTTGGCGTCCAGTTCTAGGTGCATTAGTCGTTATTTCCACACAACTTTTAAATCGTGAATACCAAATGAAAATGTGCACGACATTAAAAAAAAAAAAAAATCCTCAAACCTGTCGCATTAGTTCAACTGTTGCAATGGCGCTTTTTTTCTGAGTTTTAAACAGAATTTAATGTTAGCATTTTTGCTGCATGCTGATTACATAACAATGCACCTTGGACTAGGTTAACAAAGTGATGGCTTGTTTGTTGTCTGCTTATCGGGCAGCGATGAAAAGTTGCCAGATCATAGACGAAGGTTGCCTCTTTGGATTCCATACTGTGATTTGATAGACGACATTGTCTTAGCCATAATCGTATCGTACAAGCGATAAAAATGACACAAACACCAAAAATGAGGATCCGTGGAAGTCTTAGTCCTTTTTCAGCCGCCTGATGGCCTGCCTATTTTTCAAGGCCAGGTGGGGCTTGCAAATCGTATTTAAATATCTTCCTTTGTGGGAAGCAGTAAAGACGACATTGAATTTGAGAGCCATAATCAAACCAGTCTCATTACTTATGTCTTTGACCTTGTATATACATACATACAAGGTCCGACAATTAAGTAATGAGACTAATTCCATAAAATTAAAATAATCAACATTTGAAGATATAATCTGTATTTTATTTAAAGTAAGCTCTTGTACGTTGATACAGCAAGTGGCACGACCTAACAAACACTGGAACGACCTCTTTAGTTCTTCTGTTGTTATGGCCCTTGAAGTCAATGATGCGGCCATGTGGATGTCATCAATATCGTCAAAGATATCTTTAAGCGTATCGTATCGTAATCGTATCTTTAATTTTGGGAATAGAAAATAATCACAGGAAGACAAATATGGGAATTAGGGTGGAAGGCTGAGAACACGCACTTGTTTTTGGGCCAGCAAATTCTTGTTTTGATGTCTCTTAGGTACTCCGCTGATGTTTTTGGTCATCAGACAACGAATTTGGTACAATGCGGCAAGCAACTTTATTCTTGCCAAACTCTTGCACTAAAATGTTATGAATGGTCTTTCTGTTAACACCAGGTTCATCTGCCATCATCCTCACAGTAAAACAGCGATCTTCTTGTATCCGTTGCAATGAGTTCATCTTTACGAACATAAATTTGGCATCCAGGTGCATTAGTCATCATTTCCACCATACTTTTGAATCGTGATTACCAACTGAAAATTTGTGCACGAGATAAACAATTATTCCCATCAACTTGTTGCATCAATTGAACTGTTTCAATGGCACTTTTTCTGAGTTTTAATGATTTACGACTGCTATTAAATATCAATCAGCCCTGTTAAATCTATAGACAATCTTTTGTGATTGCTCGGTGTAGAACTATGATCGAAAAGAGATTTACCAAAAAGAGTTCAGTCATTTCGAATCATCATTTTCTTTCTTTCTCATGTAAAGTAAAGTAAAGTCGGGAGATGTGAACCAGCGTCATTGCACACGGTTATAAACCATAAGTGCTCTGCCACCAGTACGGACAGCTGATAAGAATTGCCCGTCTGTGTCGCCGTTCGCACGTAACTCTGTAGCTACAGCGACGTTCCTCCATTTACCCCAGAGTATCACTCTGGTACCCATTTCCTAGAGGCTGGGTGAACCCCAGGAGCCGCCCGGTTTCGAACACCGCCCGTGGGCTGCATCGAGTCGCAGCTGGATTTGAAAGCGAGCTTTTTATCGACTGCGCTAACGCGTTCGAATGGAGCTTATAGCCGGTGAACGCTAAAAAAAAAAAAAAAAAGGCTCGTTACCCACCGAAGCCAAGAAAGTATATCAGAGTCGTCAATGACGTCAACAGTTACTGCATTGGAGGAGATGTCGAGAAATTATTAACCACAGAGCAGACTGACTGGAAAGCTCAACAGAGGTAAAGGAAAATACCTACACAGCCGAAAGTTTTGATTAATTTTTATCAGCTTGCAAATTAGAGCATAGTTTTGTTTGTTGATAAAGAACCTTGTCGCATCAATCTTTTTCTCTCCATTCGCTGAACTGCCTGATCATAATATGTTTGGTGACATAAAAGTAGTACTTGGTGGTCTGCTGCTTTTTGGCACACTGGCTATTGAATGCCTTTAATTTCAGTGATCATTAGGTCAGAAGTTTGATCATCATCAAGTGCCTTGCCAGCTGGCGTAGGCGTTCATGCGTCGCATCAGATCTCGGTCTTTGGTTTTGTGGATCAATTCCACTGTCTTAAGCCATCCACCCATTTCTTTTGGTCTGCCTCTGCCTCTTCTAGCAGTGATCTTTCCAGTCGTCACGCTATTTTCCAGGGCTCCTTTTCTCATCACATGACCAAAAAACTTTGTTTGTCTCCTTCTCATTGTTGCAAATAATGTTCTGCTTTCATTACCCATTTCCAGGCATTCCGTGTTGGTTAGAAAAAAAGTTCTTTGCCCACGATTATTGCACTTTGGAAGAGATTGATGCCTCACCCCACATAATATACCCAAAGGACCGCTGTCAGTGCACACTAGTTAAAATTCATCATGGAAACGGCACATCAAGAGAAAGTACTTTATTAGCAGCCGTATTGTGTACCAGATTATAAGGTTGTTTGAATTGTCTTGAATATGTTTCTGTTAGATTGGCTCGCTGTGGTGTCAGACCTACAGGTAACAGCCCCGGAAAGACAATAGCAGTCACGTTATGTACACATTAATTAAAAGCTTGAAGAATACAGGTATTCTAGCAATGGACCTGCCTCCACAAGCATCTTCCACAACCAGCGCAGAGTTCCTTGGAAGCCATGGAAGGGAGGAAATGATATATTATGTTATTGCTTGCACCTTTCCGTTTTCCTCCCAGACGATAGTGTTGTATTATGTTATAGGAAGAAAGGTGAGTGGGGGGGGGGGGGGCGTGGTGCATGATAATCAGTCATTGGCGAATGTGAGTAGCAAGACCCACTCGCCGTAGATGGAATTCCTCATCTCTGTAGAACATACATACATACATACATACATACATGCATGCATGCATACATGCATACATGCATGCATGCATGCATGCATGCATACATGCATACATACATACATACCCACACACGCACACACACATACATACACACATACCCACCCACACACACACACACATACAGACAGACAAGACATACAAACAGTTCTATTCTATTCTATTCTTGTCTACAGTTGTCTACACACTCAAATGATGTCCTTATTTTCCATGTCTTCAGGTATTATGGGTTGAGCAGCAAGTGGCCAAGAGCAGGAAAAAACGGAGTATACACTTTAATGACCCCAAATGGCCAATTATGTGGTACCTGGTAAGTGCAGTAGTTACATTGTTCTTGTATGGGTGAAATCAAATCTGAGACTACATGTTGTAGCTTGTAAGGCACTGAGTGGATCGTGTTGATTGTTTGTATGTGTGTAGAAATGTAGGGGTCTTCGTGGCCGGATGGTTAAGTCGTTTGTTTCGTCTTCTGAAGGTAGTCTATTCGTTTTCAGTTTCTATGGTTGAGTCAGGTTACATGGATAGAGCAGGTATTTCAGAGAGGCAGTAGGTTCATTCCTGGAGCTAGGGAGTTTGTATTTTGTGTGACACCCTTAGCAGGCGAGATGTAATCTCTCTGTGGAAAGAGACTGAGTCGTGTGGGATAAAACTTAGTGAATCTTCTCGCCTTTAAACATTTGTTCACTACAGATGCGTATTTGCATTATGATTACAGTTAATTGGGTTTGTTGTAATCGATAATCGAATCTATGCAGATTATCACAGGCGAACCAACAGTTTTTAGGCTTACCAAATCGCAGTCTGTTTTTCAGAACGGACACTGAATTCTTCAGGTTAATAGAATGGTTTTTAAGGGGCTGGGGAACAAGGAAAACTTGTCTCAAACAACTGAAAATTGCTGGCAGCTGTGTGTTTATATATATATATATCTATATATATATATATATATATATATATATATATATATATATATATATATATATATATATATATATATATATATATAGAGAGAGAGAGAGAGAGAGAGAGCTTGGAAGTTGGAAATAGTATACAGTAGGCTGTTGAACTCGTGCCCTGGCAGAATTTCAAAAATTAGAAATGCTACCTGCATTAAACTCTGTTACGAAATCCTACATGTAGGCATGGGAGGTAACGGAAAACCAACAAAGCGAAGCTGAATTCATAATGGTGGGAATGAGACATTTAAATAGACTTAAGATTAAGTAACCTGACACAGAACTAACATCTTAAACCACTGAAGATCGAATGGTAAGGGTTCTACTCGCCTATTTAACAGGTTTCATTTCGGCTTTATGAAGATTAGGATAATATTGCTTTGGAATGATTTATCAGGGGCTGCTGAAGGCAGCGTTTACGCGATCGTTGTATGTTCAGCTGCCAATACTGTTACAGTCTGAGGTATCGATCGAGGTACACAGTTTTCATTCTCCCTCTTACTTTTCACTTTTTCGACTGTAGACAGTAGGTACGGTTGTGTGTGCATGCCTGCTGTTTAAACCCGAGGACTGCTGCTTGCTTCAAAAGATTGACAACATTAGATCAGAAGATTTCCGCCTGGATGGTTGGCAACAAAACCTGATGGTTTGACCTGAGACTAAAAGCATCTCAGGGCTGGTTGCAGGCAACAGGACTTGATGGTTTAACACTGTGAGACTCAAGCATCTCAGGGCTGGTTGCAGGCAACAGGACTTGATGGTTTAACACTGTGAGACTCAAGAATCTCAGTGCTGGTTGCAGGCAACAGGATTTGATGGTTTAACACTGTGAGACTCAATCATCTCATTGCTGGTTGCAGGCAACAGGACTTGATGGTTTAACACTGTGAGACTCAAGCATCTCAGTGCTTGTTGCAGGCAACAGGACTTGATGGTTTAACACTGTGAGACTCAAGCATCTCAGTGCTTGTTGCGGGCAACAGGAACTGATGGTTTGACCTGAGACTAATAGCATCTAAGTGCAGGCAACAGGACTTGATGGTTTAACACCGTGAGACTCAAGTATCTCAGTGCTGGTTGCAAGCAATAGGACCTGATGGTTTAATCTGAGACTAAAAGCATCTCAGTGCTGGTTGCCTCAAGCATCTCAGTGCTGGTTGCCTCATGCATCTCAGTGCTGGTTGCCTCAAGCATCTCAGTGCTGGTTGCCTCAAGCATCTCAGTGATGGTTGCCTCAAGCATCTCAGTGCTGGTTGCCTCAAGCATCTCATTGCTGGTTGCCTCAAGCATCTCAGTGCTGGTTGCCTCAAGCATCTCATTGCTGGTTGCCTCAAGCATCTCAGTGCTGGTTGCCTCAAGCATCTCAGTGCTGGTTGCCTCAAGCATCTCATTGCTGGTTGCCTCAAGCATCTCAGTGCTGGTTGCAGGCAACAGGGCCTGATGGTTTAACCTGAGACTAAAAGCATCTTACTGCTGGTTGCAGGCAACAGGACCTGATGGTTTAACTTCGTGAGACTCAAGCATCTTGGTGGTGGTGGCAGATAAACAGGGCAGGTCCATATACTCAATATAATCTCCAGAATAAACTCCCTAAATGTGCATTCCTCTTCCCGCCGTCAATGTCTGCAGTATCATTGTCGGGACCAGCTCCCCCCCCCCCCCCCCCCCCCTTCCCCAGCCCCATGTGGCAAAACATCATTCCCTGGCTACTTCCCAGAACTTCACCGTGCACTTATTTTAGACTGGGTCGACCAAGGAAGCAAGGTCCACATTCATACGGATTTGAGACCCCGACCTTCAGGCCCGCAGGCGAATGTCTAGACTCTGCACCACGACACCAGACTGTGTACTGTTCCATGTTTGCTGAGTTTTAAGCTAAATTGAAGAGACTGTGATAAAAATATTGACGTTGTAGGAGTGTTTAAAAGGACAACCACGGACGGTATAAAACAAAACAACTGACCTGACCACGAATACACACATGCCCGCCATTTGTGAAACTGCTGTTTGTAAAATGGGTATTTGGAAGGGCCGAATGTAAGACGGGCCTGCGTGCCCAGTTTGTGACCCGTTAAAAATAAAGTTCATTTGTTCGTTTTTAGTCTTGCTCCAGAACTTAGTTTTGCACTCAGATCCGTTTTACAGAGCTGACTTATTTATAAGCAGGTTATTGGTTCCTCGACTGTCAGGCAGATGCACTCCGACTTGGAGGGACATACCTTTAATTAATCGACTATAACCACATGCTTGTTGGGCGCCCGGCATCCACACGCAGGCGTAACGTTTCTGTAACAGATATCTCGCCCCCCACCCACACCCTTTTCCAAAACAAATTTTGATATGTGGTGGAGCAAATGAATTTAATAACTTGAAGAGATTGAAGAGTTACATTGTGAAAGCTAATGCATATTCAAGTTGAAAGGATATTGTCATTTGTGTCTTTTCATCGTTTTGCCCAGGCCTCTTTCTTCCACACAAGCGTCTAATCACTGCAGTAGAAAATATGCCCTGGGCATTCACTGATAAGATAAATCAATAAATGTATGTGCCACGAAGACCCGAAGCATTTCCCTTGGTATCTGGGGACTGGTGATGGCTGTGTAAATTCGATTTGTCCACTGTCGGGTGTTTGTGTCTGTCCTGACCTAGCACGTTTGTTATCTGGTTATTTGGTTGCTGAAGTATAGATTTGGTTTACTTTGATCCATTAGATGTATGTACTGTTCTTTCATACATTAGATCTAGATGCTGAATTTTTATTCAGTAGATCAATGCACTGTCATCCCGTAGATCTATGTTATGAACCTGCATTCCACTAGATCTGTGCACTGTCATTCCGTATATCTATGTTCTAAACCTGCATTCACTAGATCTGTGCACTTTCATTCCGTAGATCTATGTTCTGAACCTGCATCCAGTAGATCTGTGCATTGTCGCTGTCAGGGACCTAATCTACTCTAATTATTTTTATCTGGCTCGCTAGGTAGGCCAGCTGACAGACTCTACTACCCAGACATACTTAAGACGACACTCATGCTGAGTACAACCATAATCTTTAATGTACATCGAACATTAGACGTACAACACTTCAACTGGGCTAAGCAGCTCCCATCCGAAACTGCCTTGGCGATGACAGCTTTACAATCACTAATCACCCCAGGCCAGCTCCCATGGATCCCGGGGAGCACGACTCTTAGCTGGCAGTGTCTCAGTGCCAATCAATCCGCCGTCTATTGCCAAACGGGACTTCAGCGATACACGGAAGGTGTATGGCCTAAGCGTGCCCGGGCAGTGTTATCGCCATTACAAGGCGCGTCACCTACGATTAACTGCTTAAACAAATACTGCCTGGAATGTCTACTACACAAAGAAACCTTAACTCTCTATACTATCTAGCTGAAACATTAAATAGAAATACAGCCTATCATAGACACTAAATACGAATATCCAATTTCAACCTAACCGTCGCTACCCTAACGTTACCTCGTCGTAATGTATCCGTCCTGTCTCCCTCTATCGACCAGCACACAACCGTCATACACAACTGTCCGCACACAACTCCCCTCCAACCCGCTTGGACAAAGCCTTTTGTATTTCCTCTGAGTTCACGGCTTAATCCGCAGCACTCCGTGTCAGCTGAGTGAACTCGACCTGGCCTCTAAACTGGGCACGGCTTATTGCGTGGACAAGCTGTCCGTTCGCATACTGAGTTGTACTGAAGGTCAACTCGTACAAACGTGATGATTCACTATAGGACATCTGTTGTGCTTCCCATAGCCGAACTGGCCTCTGACAGTCACCCTGTAGATCTATGTTCTAAACCTGCACCCAGAAGATCTGTGCACTGTCATCCTGTAGATCTTATACCCAATAGATATCTGAACTGCACCGTCGTCCAGTAGATATTTACTTTCACCCAGTAGATCAGCTTATAGATCTGTGTAGTACTTCTATCCACTACATTCTTTAGTCCAGTGTATGTGCGCACCCGTAGTACATTATTATCCGATAAATGTGTTTACAATATTTATATTGGTAATTAAGTGATGTCGGCTCTGAGGCTAAGTCGATGCGAACGCTTCGTAATGCCGGGATGCCGGGTTCGATCCCAGCTGCGGGCCATGCGCCTTGCGTTGGATTCGACAGTGGTATCAAGAAAGCCGACCGTCTAGCAAGCAATGACAAACTACTGGACGTAAATTTGCCTAGAAAAACTACACAGCCAGGGGCTGTTGGGGTTGGTTCTGCAGCGTCCTGTCATAATACGGAGCGCATGGTTTTGGATCTTTGAGACTTCTGAAAATTTGATTTAGCAGCTGTGCCCCAAGCAACTATTCCATATTCTAGTGTTGGC